ATTGGGATGTAATCTCTACAATTCATATAAGTATATGAGTAAAGATCATATAGGACCCTCCCCCACTTATGTACGTAGGACCCTAAAGGATTACCATTAAAGTCGGCACGGATCTCTAAAAAAGTTATCACATAAGTGTGAGATTTGATTTTTCTATAGATCCGTGCCAAATTTAATAGTGATCATTTGGGGTCCTATACACATGGGTGGGAGAGGGTCCTATAGGATCATTTATCTAATTATATAAGTAAAATAAATTTTCAAGATAAACTTTCTATATACTAAAAAAACAAGAAAAATTGTTTCATGCGGGTTGGACTGCATTACTACAAATGCAGTCCAAAAAGTTAAAAGCATCTATCTTAAAAATGGATGCAAGTAGGTGTTACATCTAAAAACAATGAAAACTAATGGTTCAAATGTTTTTTATTAGAATTATTATTTTAAATTTTTTAAATTTATTTATTTTTTCATATTCATGATCTCCAGGTTAGAGATTACATATCTTTAAAACGTAAGTCTTAAAATCCATTTCATAAATAGATTTATTAAGAGGCCTGTGTTTTTACATATGCGGGTTTGGACGCATAGAAACCAGGCCCAAAAAACAATGCCTTGAATGGAAACTGTCCAATTTTTCAAGGGCTCGAGCTAAGTGTCACAGAACTAAAAATTCAAAAATTTTCTTTAAAAAATATACACTTGGTAATTCTCATGTGGTTACCATGTGTTTAGACTAAAATAATCCTCCTTGGTGTCTAGGGAGTATATGCTCCTGATGGAGACCATAGTATATGTGCTCAATTGTAAAACATCGCCATAAGCAGCAACTCACGAATGTAGGGGTCATTACGATATTTCATAAGAGTATATTATGTCTCTCCCCTAAATTCTGTTTTTTTTGTAGCCCTAAAGAAGTTAATGTTCTGCTTGTCAACTCTGCAAATATTAATAAGGGAGGACTCTTTTACTCGTTCTTTCAACGCTTTTGTAACTGTCAAATTCGTTTCTTGTGCGGTGCTTGCTTTTTCCTCGCTTTTCTGCCGGAAAAAGCAGTAAACATGGCCGGAAAAATGGTATTTTCCTGCACGATTTGCAGGAAAAGTGCAGGGAATGACCTGAGATTCATGTCTTCGTGGTGGAACCATGTGGAGCCGGCACCTAAGGACCCCATTCTTGGTGTTACTGAAGCTTTCTTGGCTGATACTTCTCCCAACAAAGTTAATGTTGGAGTAGTAAGTGTTAGGAATAACTGTTGATGTTTTCTTCGCTATTTTAATTGAATAACACCGCTGGTTTGGTTTCATCTTTGGTTTATTTCAGTTTTTTTTTTCCTTTGCTGGATCTGATTATGGGGTTTTGTGGGAATCGAATGGTTAGGGAGCTTACCGTGATGATAAAGGGAAACCGGTGGTGCTGGAATGCGTTAGACAGGCGGAGAGGAGAATTTCAGGAAACGAAAAGATGTATGTGTTTCCCCTCACTTCAAATTACTGTGTTGTCTCTCTGGCTGTGTTTTTCTTTTCGTTTGTTTTCCCCATTTATTTTGGATTTTCTGGTGAAACATTGAGTCCGTGAATTTCATGTACGTGTTTATGCATAGCTTCTCTAAGGAGTCACTGAATCTCTCTCTCACTGGTTTCAACTTTGTTCTGCTTATTTATTTTCCTTTTCATGGTAATTAGTAATAACTAAGTGGGTAAGATTCATGTAGGTGTCTGTATATGTTTTATCTGATGATTACTCTCTGTGTTCGTGTGGGTGCGCATGTATTTGATTCTTTGATGTGCTTGTGAAAAGTTACCCTATGTAACCTATTATTTGGTAATCCTTGCTAGTATGATTAAATGGTTTTATTGTGAGAATTTACATATCTCTGTATTCATTTAATTCATTTTCTTAGTTTGCTTGATTTATACCAATAATTTTGTTATAACTTTGGAAAAATGTGGTTATCATTAGAACCTGTGTTTAACAGATCACTAAACTCGAATGCAGGTCCTCGACTTGCATGTCACCCAAATCAATCCATTAGTAGCCTGCTACTATGGGAACTTCGTAACTTATTATTCTACTTTTCAAATGAGAGTTATTTGGCATTTGCTTTGTCAAAAATGACTGGAAAGCCTGAAATGAGAGTTTCTTCAATTGTTTCTGGTTTTTAATTTTTATTTGCAGTGCTCTTATCCAAGTTTCCATATGAATCAAATACAACGTGGGATTTTGTGTTTTTTTTAATGCAAATAACCATCTTAATTTCTGAATGATTGGTAATATTCTTTTTTTTTAAAAAAAAATGAATGGCAAGATTCTGACTAAAAAATGACGACATGGATTTGAATTTGGTCAATTTAATTTGACAATCTCGTATTTGGATTTTGAACAAGCATGCTTTGTTTATCAATTTGAGAGATTTTGATTCAAGGGCTTAGGTGTGATATCTGCAAAGATCCCAGTATTTGGTTTCTCTTGATATAAATTTGGCATCTCACAGTGTTCAAGGTTTGAATCCCAAAAGTAATCTATCAAAAAAGAGAAAAGCTATTTTGTTATCAAGTTCTCATGTGACTATAGTTACTAGATGATATGTGGTCTAAGTTATTGTTGATTAATTAATAACTGACGCATAATCAAGTAAAGGCAACAAAGGATCCTCTTTTGTTTTTCGTACACAAGAATCATGCGCAATTTGTTATAGTGCCTTCTTTGGAATGCATTTTAAGCCAGTTAAAATTTATGTATTGAACCTTTGGTAACAGGGAATATCTTCCAATGGGGGGAAGTGTGAAGATGGTTGAGGAGACATTGAAGCTAGCGTATGGTGAGAATTCTGATCTCATCAAAGACAAAAGGATTGCTGGAGTGCAGGCTCTTTCAGGGACTGGTGCTTGCCGCCTCTTTGCAGATTTTCAGAAACGTTTCAGGCCAGAGTCACAGATCTATATACCCACTCCCACTTGGGCCAAGTGAGTGGTATATATGCTTTTTAACTGTACTAGCTAAAATGATTTATGTTGCGTATTAATGGTAAAATACGAATAATTTGATAGTGTCTTGAAAGTAATTGCTTAGTATAGGTCATTTGGATGGAAAAAAGCATATAGAAAAAGATAAGTTTAGGAACATGGATTGGTTTGGTGCTTAAATCCTGTAGGTTCTATTGAGTATACAACTCTAGAATTGGTTGGACTTTGGAGTCATTCTAATGGATGGAAATGTGTAACAATTCTTTGTTTTGGGTTTTGGGCATGAGACATGCATCATCTAGGAAGATCACCATGGTATTGACAGGACAGAGAGCTTCATGTCTCTACCAAAAAAACTATCTAGGCAGATCATCTTCTTCTCTTGTGCATTCATGCATATGTGTTGCTAGTTGTGCTCATGATTCTACCATGTGATTCAGCACCCTTGGAATATAAACCTTCTGTCCAAGTACTACATAGATACATGATGGAATTGTGCTTATTCCTAATAATAAGATAGAAGTTTCAATTCCTATTGATTCATAATTCTAGTGCAGAAACTTTGAGAGAATAAGGAAATAGAAGAAGAAGAATAATCTGATAGAGGCACTATATAAATAATGACTATTAGAACAAATAACATCGCTACACTAGAGGAAGGATAGGTACTTGCAAATATAAGAATATGACAATATCACACTTCTCCAACACTCTACCACCATCACTGTCTCACTCTCACTTTCTGCTCTTTATTTCTCTTTGGACTCTTTCTACCAACTCTCTTTCTTTCATTTAACTTTCTGCTCTTCACCTATTTCCTGTCTTTTTTTTCTTTTAACTTTTTGATACATGATTTTGGGTTGTACAGTCTGCAAGCATCCAATCTGTGGATGCTACCCACACATCTCATTGTTTTTGTAAGAATATTTTATACATAGAATGAATGTAGCTGAGATGAGGATGTTGAGATGGTTAAGTGGTAAGACGAGGAAGGGGCAGAATTCGAAATGAATACATTCGAGGGAACTTAAGGGAACTCCAATAGGGGATAAAATGAGGGAAAGTGGCCTTAGGCGGTCCGGTCATATACATCGTCAACTTAGAACAACACTAGTTAGGAGGGGTGATTTAGTACAAATGGAAGGCTCTAAAAGGGCAAGGGGAAGGGCCCAAAGGACACAGATGAAAGTAGTGAGAAAAGATATCATGACTTATAGTCTGACTAAGGGCATAGCCCTTGATAGAGGGGAATGGAGGAACAAGATTCGTGTAGCCGACCCCAAGTAGTTGGGATAGGCTTAGACAACGACTACGACGACGATGATGATGATGATGATGATGATGATGATGATGATGATGATGATGATGATGATGACTACGACGACGACGACAATGATGATGATGATGATGATGATGATTTTATGCATAATATAGTGTCACCAATCCTCGAAAAAATGTCACAATAGTTAAAAGGCTAGAAATGAGTCAAAACTAGAATCTCCATTTTGCAGAATTTGTCATGTACTACACTAAGGGCTTTCATGTTACCTTTTATTGACTGCCTCTGTTCATGGGGATGAATTTCTTGTTTGTCTCTTTGTATGTTGACAATAATTTGTAATCAAATGAAAAACAATTTCATGTATTAATCCTCACATATCTTACAGTGGGTGACGTGGCTGCGAGTTTTGTATGTTGGTAGTTCCGATGGTTGGTTTGGATGTGAGCTTCATTGCTTTGCATATAGTGTAGGTAATATGTATTTAATTTAAGTTGAAGGGGAGCTTGCTTATCTGTGCATCTTAAGCAAGATAATCTTTCGCAAGGTTTTTCCACTTGCTCCTGGAATGCATTTCAATAGTTGCAGATGTTTTTTCTTTCCTCAAAGGTCAATATTTGCATATGTTTTTTCTTTTCTGAAAGGTCAATATTTACAGATGTTTGTCTTAAATTACCATTATCAGAGTTTTTATGCTTTTTGTTATATAAGTTTCCATATACTTGGTGTTACTTTCTAGATCATGTAGGGTGTCTGGAATTTATATAAGATCATATCAATGGAAGTCTTCCATGAAATTTTGCTTTGAACACTGATACTTTAAATTGTCTATAGCCACCTCAACATTTGGAGAGATGCCCAAGTTCCTCAGAGGACTTTCCATTACTACCATCCTGAATCCAGGGGATTAGATTTTGCTGCATTAATGGATGATGTGAAGGTATTTAAAGTTTAGATGGAATGCTTTGTCATTTATTTATTTATTTTCTCACGCTGTTATTTATTATTATCTGTTTTATTACCTACTACTATAAGGATATCTGTGGGTTGCTACATCACTTACCCTTTTTCGCCCTTTTTCTTGTTATTTTTCTACTTTTCTTAGAATGCACCAAATGGTTCTTTCTTTTTGCTGCACGCATGTGCTCATAATCCAACTGGAGTGGATCCATCTGAGGAGCAATGGAAGGAAATCTCTTATCAATTTAAGGTAGATCTTGCGTAAAACATGCCTTCACCATTTTAGCAACTGTTAAAATTCAATATTGACCCATTATGGATTTCATGCATTTATTGAATGTTGGTAGGCGAAAAACCACTTTGCCTTCTTTGATATGGCATATCAAGGTTTTGCAAGTGGTGATCCAGAGAGAGATGCTCGAGCAATTCGCATTTTCCTAGAAGACGGCCATATGATTGGCTGTGCCCAATCCTATGCAAAAAACATGGGGCTTTATGGACAGAGAGTTGGATGTCTCAGGTACGTCATTCCCATTGTGTGCTCTTGACATGTAAGTGACTGAGTGTTTGATGTGGTTAGGAAGAAATGCTTTTACTGCTGAAATTCCCGTCATATCAAGCTTTCCTATTTCTATAATGCAAACTGCAATTCATGTTGCTTTATGATTGCTCAATGCAAAGCTTAAAATCTATGAGAATTTTATGGATTCATTTGATTTATTATAGACTTTCACTTTGCTTGTAAATAGAAGAATGCCACTTTCGATTGCAAATTAGCTGAAAAGAATTGAAAGATGAAGAGGTTCATGGATATTTGTTTATGTATTTATGCATATGTGGGTATGCCTGTATGCATTTGCATGTGGGTGCCACTGGATTGACATTTTCGTTCGTGCATAGCTGCACTGGTACATGAATGCACACATTTGTATTTAAGAGTCAGTAGTCCTCTCATCCTACATTGATGGAGATTCGTGTTATTTATATCTATGTTCAGTACTTGACTCAAAAGTTCACACTTGGGTTTTGAAGAATATGTTTGCAGTTCCAGCTTCTCAACTATCTGATGTTAAAACTGGATGGTTGATGTTTGTCATTCCTCAAACAAAACCTTAGTAAATATCAATTTTTGATTTAGGGATATCACTCTTTCTCACCTTCTGAAGTAAACCTTAAAGAAGTGGCCTCTATCATCGACATTCTTTTGGTTGCTTCTTTCTCACCTTTTGGATGTAGCCACTTTCTTCAATATTCATGTTGGTTGGTCAAAGCTTTGATGTTTTCTTGTTGTAGTATTGTCTGTGAAGATGAAAAACAAGCAGTGGCTGTGAAGAGTCAGTTGCAACAGATCGCTAGGCCCATGTATAGCAACCCACCTGTTCATGGTGCCCTTCTTGTTTCTACCATTCTCAGTGATCCAGACCTGAAGAAACTCTGGTTGAAAGAAGTGAAGGCAAGTGATTTTGTGATTTCTATCCTGATTGTATGATTCCTTTGTTTCTGAAACTTTGTTTTGGAGGCATGCAAGTGGATATCCCATCACTGTTATGAAAGTGGATGTCCCATCATGTTCTGTGTTTTAAATCTTGTGATGGATGGATGATTCTCTCTCTCTCTCTCAATCAAACACACACACACATGAACAATTGCTTATGTATTTGTGCCAAGAGCTGGTGGGATGGAGTTCTTCATCGAGACCGTTCAGTTTATGGCTACAATCCCCATCTTGCTAAACTGAATGACAAGAGAGAAACTCTAATAACTGGTCCCATTTTTGCATTTCAGGTTATGGCTGACAGGATCATTGGCATGCGAACTGCACTAAGGGAAAGTCTTGAAAAGTTGGGTTCTCCTCTATCTTGGGAACATATAACCAATCAGGTTTGTAATCTCCTTTTGGATGCGGGAGCTTACATATAGGTTTTACAATTGAACAAATACATTTCAAAATGTACGCCGTCTCACTTGCCTAGATGGACTTAACTTGCACAGGCCAATCCACATGGTCACTCACACAGACACATTGAGTGCACTCTTTGACTCAGTTGCATGCAAACTTTAGAAGATCCATATGTACATGCTTACATACTTAGATGCATAGATATGCATGATGCCCAGGCACATGCAGTTTGTTCGTACCCCCTCTAAATAGCCAGCACAAAATACTGTTCCTCAGCTATTCGGTAACCATACACACATCCACAAATGTTAACTCTTCCTAATGAAGATACATCAGGAGCACAAGTGTAGCACAGGCCTTCATGTCAGATAGGAGTAGAAAACACCACCGCACATGTGCAAATCCAAAGAACACCCATACAGGCACATGCATATACTGAAACAGCTCTACAGCAGTTATTACCTGTGTTGCATGGAAAATAGACATCTTGAATGCGAGAAGAATACACAAAATTATTTACATAAAAGAGATCCAACATAAGGGCTATTTGCACATTGGTATTGGTTAACTGAGTTTTGGTTAAATTTTATAATGAACAGAATAAGGTATCACGGAAGAAGTTAGGGACATGTTCATTAGAAAGAGAAAGTAGTTAGGATGTTTTTCAGATATCTGAAAGATGAACTGTCTCCATGAGAGACATGCAATGGCTAGAGGATACCATGGGAATTTATATGAGCCAACAAATTTTGAGGTAGTGATTTTTTGCGTACTTTATCCCACCTTAGACTATCACTGCAGATATACATTTTTTTCTATCAGTAAATTGCAATTTCTTCTGGGATTTGTAGTTTCCATCTTCGAGTCAAACTACCTAGTTTTATGTGGTTTGACACCTTGAAATTTATTCCACATGCAAATCAAGAGAAGCCAATCTTTGGAAAGCAAATAGTTAAGTTGCTCAACACTTAGCTGAGTGAATTTTGAAAGTCAGAGGAGACTGAGCAGCTTTCCCTTTCAATCTCAAAATTGAAAACATACTGTATGAGATGTTCTTACAGGATATCCAAGGATTATTCACTGTGATGGTTCTGAACGTGAGGCATATCTATAAATGCCTAGGCAAGTACCAATGTATTTGTATATGGTAGGGCATCTACTACTACTCTCATAGTTTGACTACTTCAGGTATGCAGTCCAATAAGAGAAGTGGTGATAGATTCTTTGCAGTTTGCCAAAATTGGTGATATTAAAGCATTTCTTAATATCATCTCATACTCTTACCATTGGCCTTGTATTATTAGTATCTCGTGATACTTTTTTCTTCAAGTTAGTGCCATGTAATATGCTGTAGACATATCCTGTCATGCATGAACGGAAGTGCATTATAGATAAAAATAGAAAGGAATCTGAAATGTATCAACTTTTCAGAAAAAGAATAAAAAGGAATATGAAATTTTGGAATAGAAACTTGGTTAAGGTGGATTTCTAGTTGCCTTCCTGTCGCCAAAAATCTCATATTTCCTGCTAGAAAGTTTCATTCTTAGAAAGCTCCGGGGACATACTGCAAGGTGTGGAACTTTCGTGGGTGGAAAGGCAACTTAAGTACGTAGTTCCTCAACTCAAGAAGTCGTAATTGATAATTTCAATGTTATGCACATTCCTATTGTTATAAATGTTTCTGAGTGCTTGAACTGGCATACTTGACGTGCACATGGCACATTCTTGACTGTGCATTATCACATGCATGCAGAATCACACAAGTAATGAAATGCTTATGACCGTGATAGCTCCTCATGTGAACATTCAATCATGCACTGTAAACCAACCTCATGATGGTCTGAATGCCCATTATTGACCATCGGACTATCACATGTTTTCTCATTCATTCTTATGGTATTTGGACAGATTGGAATGTTTTGCTACAGTGGGATGAGTCCTGAGCAAGTTGACCGCTTGACACAGGAGTTCCATATTTATATGACTCGCAACGGTCGCATCAGGTATGATATTTCCCTCACTGTCATTTGATTCTAGGAGAGGTTGACCAAAATGCCTCTTACCATGGACCATTAAGCCCATGTAGAACACACTATAAAAACAGAGTTCCTTTTTACCAAAATGAAATTGGACCGTGGTATGCACTCACTGTTTGAAATTGGAACCTTGTCTACCTGGCAATATCCTTAAATAAATTTCAATTTATCTTTTAGTTTTCCTCAAACAAATCTTCACTATCTTCTGCTGAAATTATGGGTTTTAGAATCAACCCGTGACAGAAAAAATTTGAAGTAATGGCAACTTGGTCGTATTTTAGGAAGGAAAAAGTTTATATAAGGTTGCAACCTTAAAATGTAGAATTACAGATGCGCCTCAAAAATCCATCGGAAAAGGTCGTTTTAATGCTGGAAAGCCCTCTAATTGATCATCTCGACAACGAGATATATGAATATGAAAAAAAAAAGAAGGATTTTGTCCCAGAAATAGTGCATCTTGCAACACATTATCTAGACTATCCATTTTCAAGTTTTTCATATGTTTATAGATCTATTTGATTTTAACCATTTTTGAAGTTTAAAATTCTCTAATTAGATATAATAATAGATTGTGAGATAATCCTAAGAATTTTTTACATC